AAGTGAGAAGGGCGGGTGGTCGGCGGGCCCGGGCCGGAGGTGCGGGTTGTGGCCGCCTGTACCCGCGGGGGCTGGTGCGGACTCCACCGTCCGGTCTCCCTGTTCCGCAGAGTGAGCGTGACAGTTCATCGTGTCAGAGCCGGTCGTGTGGCCTTCGGCGTCGGCCCCCGGGCTCTGGCTTGGGGCTCTTTGGTGAGGCGACTGGCGCTGCGGGGCGCAGGACGGGGCCCGCCTTTCCTCCCGGCTGCCCCCTGCGCGACTGGGGCGCCGCGAATACGTAGCTCGGGTGGTCGCCGAACAGTCTGGGAGGCCTGTAGTGGGAGACGGCACCCCCGGGGGCATTTGGGAGCGGGAGTCTCTCTTCCTGCACTTGTGGGTAGCCTCTGTTGTCGGACGGGATCCTTTGCTTCCCTGGGTTCCTCAGAAGTTGGGGTGAATAGAAGCCGCGGGACAGGAGGCATGGGAAGGATGGCCTTCTCTGGGCAGGCCGCTGCTGTGTCAGCACCGAAGATAACTTGTAAACCTTACTTTTTAGTCCTTTTTAAAACCTACACGTGACGGTAGATTTTGATTTTGAGTTTGTGTTTTGAAAGAAAAGATATTGCTACTACTTGTGTGTACTTCTGAGAGTTATTTTAAACTTTAATAGCGAGTCATGAATATTTGGAGGCTGTATAAATCCCATTGTAAACCCTTTAAGTGAGGTATCTTGTGGGTATAATGGTGCAGCATCGGTATCCTTACGTTTCTAGAGGAATAAGTAAGACGTATGTTACTTAACTGATTAGCTTAGAAGTACTAGAAGAAATCTTTATTCTTAGGTTAACAATTGGGTGTCCTTTAATATATTTAAGGTCTTTATTAGTATTGAAATACTTTTAAGTCTGCTTTTCACGGTTCTTTGTTCTCACCCATACTCCTTCCCTTTACCATGCATTGGAGTTTTCATAAGTAGTCATAATAATTCATCTGAGGTGTCTGGGATTTCAAGGGAACAAAGACTTTGTCAGAAATACACAAAAAGATAAGGAAACCCACAGAGTCTGTTCAAGCAATGAGTAGAGTTTGCTACAATGATTTGCCCTGGGTGAAATATTGAGAGTTGGTTGGTACTTTCAAGTGTAAATGTTGAAAGCGATGCAGTTTTGACCTGACAACGGTATGGTGAGCTGACATACTTTGTTGTGAAAGTGTTAGTGCTGCAAGATAGAAAGTCCCAGTGGAGGTGGTGATCCATGCAGTTGTTTCTGTTGACATTGCTAGTGTAGCAGCCCCATCGCAGCCTGGTAGAATATTTTTTTGTAGCGTTGGCACTGATGAAGGACAGGATGTTGGCAACTGCAGGTGTTCAGACCAAGATAAGCACTTACACATCAGTCACTGTATTAGTATAACCCCCAACACATTGCCTCCATTTCTCTTGCTCCCAGTGATATATTAGAATGATGTGGTAAGAAAACTGAACCTGTGGGATTGTAAATCCTTATCAAAATGCTGCCTCTATTAATAAGTTTATTCAGTTTACACATTTCTGGCTTTTTTCCCTTTTGAGGTGGGAGTTAGTTTGATTTTTGTTGGAAGGGCTTTTTTAATATTTTATTTATTTATTTAAAGTCAAAATTCTTGTGAATGAGTCAGGAAAGATTGAAAGAAAGGATCTTCCTTCACATTATTTGGTATCTAGGTTTAATATGCCTAGACTTGTTGCAATCATGCTTCTAATTACTTTTGAAAATCTTGTAGCCTAATACTTGTTATTAGGAAGAGTTGGATTCTCATTGTATCCTTGTTTTTCCTCAGTTCCTCCCTTCACAGTATTCTAGGTACTATGGTTGATTTTTTCCTCTGCTCTTCACTTCTGCTTTTTCATTTTACCAATCAGAGGACTATGCATATTCAGTGTTTTCTGCCTGTCCCAAGTATGAGGGGAGGAGGAGAAAATGACATTTTTTTTTTCCCCTTCAAACTCAGTTTTATCTGTCTTGCCTTCTGTTTAGATGAGACATAACTGGGATATCTTTGAAGCACTGTCAAATACAGATTCTAACTGATGGAAGAAAAAGCAGTGGTTTTGGTCTTTGTGTCCTCAAAGCAACAATTGTTGCAAAATTGGCCATGCTATTTCTACTAAGTTGCAATTCTCCAAGCATCTCTCCTAGGTCTTATTCATACAAAAGAATCTAAGCTTTTTTTTTTGAGCGAGCTTTCCAAAGTGGAGAAGAGACTGAACTGACCCACATTTGTCAATTTCTGCTGTTTGTTAAAGTAACAGTGTAAAACCAGATATATCCCAGTAGCATCTGAGACACTGCAGCTGCCTGCCTCTGCATTTACAGCACAGCATTGGTTTTATGCTTTGTTCACATATGGCAAGATGTAGCCATCTGGATTAGCAAGCTGTATGTTTTTGAAACAAAGATGTAGATTCTGCAGAAGGTTGGTAGCACACACTGGAAAATTATGAATCCTGGAGAATATTTCTAGGCGTGATGAAAATGAATGTCTCTAGTGTAAACAGACAAGAGTTGTATACAATATATTGCAGAATACTGGAATGCTTTTGCAAATGTCTCAGGGTTTGTTTTAGCATATATTATTTAGAAAGTAAAAAGATAAAATAAAGATTGAATGATAAAGAAAACCCAGTTGTGCAAAAAATCTGAAGTTTAAGTGGCCCATGTAATCTGCTTGCTGAAGAAACCCTTTAGTTTTCCACTGGTTGTACTAGCACAGGGCAAGACTTAGTACCGTGATAATCAGAGCAAAGCCATTCTTGGCAGTTGGCCACAGCGGAGCAGCTTGCCCTGCATTAATAGAATGGCTTCTCCGTACGCTGGAGTGGAAGAAGGTGTTTAAACTAATTTAACAAGTGATTATATATTGTGATATTAAAGAAATATCAACTATTTTTGCTGTATATGCTAATAGAAAATAGTATGGGTGACAATGGTGTTAGGTGTGAAACAAAAATAGGTGTTTCTTTTAAATCTTTGTTTTAGAACAACTTTGTACTGAGAGAACAGATGAATCTGAATACAATGTAGTAAACTTGAGGTTTGATCTCTAGTCCTTGTTAATGGAGTATTCTCATATTGATCCTAAAAGTTTATTCTCTTCTTGGTTGTTTTTAAAGCTGTGTTTGGTCATTTTTTTTTTTTTTTTTTTTTTCCTATAGAAACAGATGAACCAGGACCAAACAAACTCTGTTGATTTAGTCAGCTTTTGATTTATAATCTGTGGCTACATCAGACTAGTCCTGTGCCTTGGTTATAGAACGTACTTAAGGTCAAGCCTGTTATAAAATCAACAATGTTTTAAGAAGATACTCTGGTTCGTTTGTACCAACAGTAGAATCAAAATCTCTGAACATAAAGGCATTGCAGTTACTGTGAGAAGATCTACTTTATCAGAATTTACTATCTATTAACAAAGGAAAAGCATTTGTTAAATCAAACTATTCATTAACCTATTAACATGTGCCTTATTTTTCTCTACTTAATGATATTGAAAGGCAGTTAAATAAATAAGTTAAGGGAATATATTAAATATTTTTCTGAGTGGTTTTAAAAAAAACCCAGTTACACTAGTTTCCAAAAGCTTTCACTGACAAATGGAAGAAAAACTGGTACTCGAGATAGTGAGTAAAAGATGATAAAAAGGAAATAAACTCTGAAATCCACTAGGAAAGTGTTGTATCTGTAATAATTTGTCACGAGATTTTTTTTGATTTTGTGAATTCAACTGAGTAGTTCATATTCTTTCTTAATTGAGTGTAGTGAATTACTCAACTAATTTCAAGGGGTTGTGGGGGATGGACAGTCAAAAGATTTATATTTTAAATGTCTGGTTTACTTAAAAGAAAAAACGTATTTATGAATATATATGCATTTTTTTGCTAACCAGTTTATTTTTTGTAGGTAACTGAATGGATCTTCAGAAGTGGAATTGCTAAAACTCAGAAGTAAGTATACGAGTGTTTGTTTTTCAGAAAAATATATCTTAGTACTACCTTTGTTTAGAGTTAATAAACCCTTTTTTCGTGATCATTCTTCTGTCATAATATTATTATATAGCCTCATAAGTCTATTTGTTAATTGTTTATGAAAGTAGATAGTTATGTTTCTCCTGAATATGTCCTGCTGTTTCTTTTTAGTATTATTCTTAATAGCTAGGACTACCAATAATGAAGGGAAACTTTGAAAAATTAGATAGGAAATTGCTAGAATAATTTTTCAATTATGTATGATATATAATTTGTCATCTTTGTAAACATCAGGAAGGTTTCAGCTCTTCAAATTTGTGTTATCTAACATAGCATGACTAGAATCTCTTATAGTGAGGGTTCATTTTTAACTGCATTTGATTTTTAATTTTGACTTTGGAAGTCACCTGTCTCTGGAAAGAGGAATTTTTGTGTTCTGCTGGCTCCTATTTAAAACAGGAAAAATCTGCATGTGAAGAATGCACTTCATTCATGTGTTCAAAATGCATGATGTGCGTAACTGAATGATATGTTGTGTTTTAACCTCTTTCCAGATGGTTGAGATGATGAAATAATTCAATCAAAGTTATATTAAAAAGTAGAAATTTTTCAGTCTAATAAATAGTTGAACTCTTTTTTTTTAAAAAAAAGTCCTCTATTTTTAGCAGAGCAATATTAAAATTGCCATAAGATATGCATATATGAATTTATATGAACAGCTGGTATTTGCAGTAAGCATATATTTCATTAGAGCTGTTTATAGTATCTATATGTCCTGTAATTATGCTGATTATACTGCACTAATTTCCAGTTGTTCAGTTGTTCTTGCGCATACCGTGGGTTATTTTTGCTTAAAGTTCATTAATTACTTTCTACAGCTAGAGAGACTTACTTTTAAAAAGGGCTAATAAAAAGGGTATATACAGGGCTTGTGCATAATACGTTATACTGGGAGATGTCTGGGAACTTTTATTTCTATGCTCACTATCCTTTTGTCTATTCATAATGAGTCTGGTTTTGGCTAATTGGATTTTTATTGTCTTCAGTGGCATATCGAAGAGGTGAAATGTGGTCTGAAGGACGATATGACTATGAAAGGGTTCCAAGAGAACGTCTTCCTCAAAGGATTCATCCTGATGTAAGTGTATAGCATGTTTCTTTAGCATTATACCATTATACTATACATTTATACCATGACTTGTACCATTAGGCATGGATTTATGTATGTAGTTATGTTCCTACTATACCCCAAGTTCTGTTCTGTTCTCATTCATTTAAGCCAAGAATCTAGCAAATGCATCTGCACAGAGATAATAGGATGTTTACAATTTTTTTTTCTTCAAATCTATTGAAAGTGTTTTAGAATATTTGTATTTTGTTAAATTCATTTTTTCGGTGTAATTCTTTGTGTTATTAAACATGGAATTTTTAATAACTCCTGGAGAACCAAAGGCCATACTATCTTGTATTTTTCCCCAGACTTTTTTTTTTTGTTGTTATATCTTTGAAGTGATTTGAGGTGGTAAAGTGACTACTTTCAGTATTGTTCTTGTCACTGATGCAGTTTTTTATGATGCTTAAAGTATAGAAGGAAATGTTTAGAACAAATGTTGAAAATAAATCTTCGCTAAAGAAACTGTGTTTCAGATCCTTGTAAGGGAAATGTTATCAAGAAGTGGATAGATGGAAACTACTTTGTTGGGATGGAGAATTCTACTGTATCTTATGCTTGTAAAAGCAAACACAGAAGCTGTGCTTACTCTGCTGTAGAATTACTTTAGAATGCTTTTAGAAAATCTCTGTGCCACAGAATTGGGTAAATTTTTTTTTTCCTGTGCCTAAAGTCTCTAAAGAAGAAAGAAAATAGGTTGTAGGTTTGTCTTTTGAGCTATTTGACCTTAAAAGAACTTTAAGAATACTTTTTGATATTTTATTTACATGCTGTACAATGTAAATTTGGCAAAATAAAATTTGAGGTACCTTTGCCTGTTCTCTGACTTTTAATTTTTTTAAATGTTGGAATAATAGCCTAGCTGATGTAGCATATTTTCTGGGTTCCCTCTACCATATTTTCAGCTTGTCATTTTAGAAGTGTAGCAGTGTTGGTAACTTGGTAATTAGTTACATGGGTTTTTTTCTGAGTAGTGTATTAGTGTTTGGCTGCTCTGTGACATTTTTAACTCTCTTTACAGGTAACAACAAAATTTCTGCATTTTCAGCAAACTGGAAATCAGATAAGTTTGCACAGGGTATTTAGTCAGCTGCTTCTCCAAAATATTTATCAGCAATAGGACATGAGGAAAGTCGGAGTGTATTTCCACAGATATTTTTTTTTTTTTAATCAGTGCTTGACTTGACTAACACATTTCTAATTTAATTTAACCACTGCAATAGTGATATTCCTGAATTCTTTTAGTCATTTTTCAAGCTGTCCAGGGAACAACGCATGGCATGCATTATGAAAATTTACTTAAGAGCTGAAAAGATGTGCTACACTCATTTTGATGCAAGAATTAAATAGATAGTTCAATGATAGCTTTATATGTGTTTGGAACTGGGGATGAAGGAACTAGCAGAGTGCACTCATTTATCACAATCTATACTATCCATCTGCACCAAAATTGTGGTCCTGAGGGAGCTGGCAGATGAAATGGCTAAGCCACTATACATTAGATGTGACAAGTCATGGCAGTCCAGTGAAGTTTCCACTTATTGAAAAGGGGGAGCATAACCCCCTATTTTTAAAAAGGCTAAAAAAGGAAGACACAGGGAACTACACGCCAGTCAGTCTCACCTCTGTGTCCAGCAAGGTCATAGAGCAGATCCTCCTGGAAACTGTGCTAAGGCACCTGGAAAATAAGGAGGTGATTGGTGACAGCTAACATGGCTTCACTAAGGGCAGATCGTGCCTGATGAATCTGGTGGCCTTGTACGATGGGGTTATAAGGGGATAAGGGAAGAGCAACTGACATTATGTACCTGGACTTGTGCAAAGCATTTGACACTGTCCTGCACAACTTGTCTCTAAATTGGAGACACATGGATTTGATGGATGGACCACTCAGTGGATAAGGAACTGGCTGGGTGGTCACACTCAGGGAGTTGTGGTAAATGGTTCAGTGTCCCAGTGCAGAGCAGTGACGAGTGGCATTCCTCAGGGGTTGGTATTGGGACTGGTGCTTTTTAATGTTTTTGCTGGCAACATGGACGGTGGATTGAGCGTACCCTCAGCATGTATCACGATGACGCGAAGCTGTGTGGTGCAGTCAACATACTGGAGGGAAGGGACGCCATCCAGAGTGGACCTGGACATGCTTGAGAGGTGGGCCTGTGCAAACCTCATGAAGTTCAGCAAGGCCAAGTGCAAAGCGCTGCACATGGGTTGGGACAATCCCAAGAACAAATAGAGGCTGGGCAATGAGTGGATTGATAGCAGCCCTGTGGAGAAGGACCTAGATGTATCAGTGGATGGAAAACGGACTGTGAGCTGGTAATGTGTGCTCACAGCACAGAAAGCCAGCTGTGTCCTGGGCAGAATCAAGAGAAGTGTGACCAGAAAATGGAGGGAGATGATTCTCTCCCTCTACTCTGCTGTCATGAGATCCCACCTGGGAGTACTGTGTCTGGCTCTGGGTCCCCCAACATAAGGACATGCTCGAGTCAAGAGTAGAGCTGTGAAGATGAGCAGGGGGCTTGAGCACCTCCTTTGTGAGGACAGGCTGAGAGAGTTGGGGTTGTTCAGCCTGGAGAAGAGAAGGCTTCAGGGACACCTTATAGCGGCCTTCCAGTACTTAAAGGCAGCCAACAGGAAAGATGGGAAGGGACTTGTTATCAGGGAGTGTAGTGATAGGATGAGGGGTAACATTTTCAAACTGAAAGAAGGTAGATTTAGATTAGATAGAAGGAAGAAATTCTTTAGTGTGAGGTATGTGAGAGACACTGGCACAGGTTGCCCAGAGAAGTGGTGGCTGCCCCCTCCCTGGAAGTGTTCAGGGCCAGGTTGGACAGAGCTTTGAGCAACCTGATGTAGTGGAAGGTGTCCCTGCCCATGGCAGGGGGATTGGAACTAGACTAGTTCCAACCCAAACCATTCTATGATAAAACAACACCCTTAGTAGTTAAAACCAGGATCTGGTGTCTCTTTGCTGTACTGAAAGATGGATATGAAATTCCTTCTCAGTAAGGTCTGCCAATTCAAGATAGTTGGGAGGCAGTTTCTGTCCTTGTAAGCCTGTGCCATTTTATCTGTGTCCACATATAGAGGTCTGACTTAATTTTAACTAGACAAGTAAAACGGAGTTAATCAATATATGAACTTGCTTAGCATTTGCTGATAGATTAGTATGTTGGACCCGAGACATGCACATGATACCAAATGAAATATGTCTTGTTTGAGAGCGCAAAATACTTGTCCTAATCTAATCTGCATGCTAATTATATATCAAGTATAGATTGTAGTAGAAGCACATGCTTTCAGATCCTGGTAAACAACATTTAAGTTATAAGCACTTGGCACAATTAACTGTGAGTATGCCTTGAGCTTTCATGTAACTGCACTTCTGAATGTCAGTACAGTTATGTGATGGGCCCTTTTGGGTGTGATTAAAGCACAGAGCAGTTTTGTTTTAGCTTCAGACCATATGTTTGTAAGACACCAAACTAAAAAAAAAAAACCCAAACGTGGAGGATGTTCAATGAGTCAAGGGTAGATCAAGCATTGTGGCTGTGTGTGAATGTGTTTGTAGGCTCTATTTTCTATCCGTATGGCTGTAGGCTGGTTTTGCATTGCCCTCTAGTGAATTTGTTGGGTGATCTCTGAAATCAACTAACGTTTTTTTGCATGATAATATTGAGCAGTTTGTGAATTTAATGAGTTTTTCTACAAAAACTATTGGCGCATTAGATTGTGACTTCTACTACTATTAATAAAACTGGTTTGAGTATCTTCCTCCACCTCTGAACTGCACATGCTAACTTAAGTCTCTGCATTTATAGCTTGTGTTTTTAAGGACCGTAGAACAATTATCTTGCTAAAGGAAGAAGATTTAAAATACAAGGCCTTGCATTCATGTTTTCATTTCTTTTTATTTGCAGTTCGCTTATATAATAATTCGTTCTCAAAAATTGAATTTATATCTTTTACAACTATGCAATTTGCGCTTAATAAAGTATTTTTTAATTGGTAAATGGTGTATGACATCTTATTTGAAAGAAATACAATAAATTAATTTTGCATTCCAGCAAAAAGCTATCCAAAACTTGTGTTGAAAGAAAATCTGAATGTTAAAACTGTCAACCACTTGAATCCTCTGATCGTCTACTGCATTGTATTGAGAAGGCGCTTATCCAGATTATGACTGTCTTCACCATAATCTCCATACTATGGAGGATGTTACTGATGTTAAGAAAAGTGATAGTATTTTCAAAGGAGCTTTTTATTTTACAGTCATTATGGGTATAAATTCCTTTGTTGCATTCTGAAGTTAACATAAAAGTCTCTCAGAAATATATGTAGCTAATGCTTAAAAAAAAAAAGTAGCTGATGCTTAGAAAGTAGCTAATGCTACCTCTTTAAACTTTCAAAAGAAACTTAAACCACATTGAAAACTTTATCTCTTTGATTACTCTTGTAACACCTAAGGGTTGCATCTGAAGGGTGTCCAATTAGATTTAATAAGTTACTCCACCATCAGACTAGCATGATTTTTAATGTGTTCTGTTCCCCTGTGCTATTTCAGCTTTAAGATTATCATAGTCCCGCATTCAGAAATAACTTGGGTTTTTTTACTTCTGTGTATTCACTACAGATTTCCAGCTGTTAAAAGCAATATGATTTTGTTTTGTGGTTTAGGATGGTTACCATAGAGTAGTAAATATTGTGCCCAAGAAACCACCACTGCTCGAAAGACCTGGAGATGGGAATTACAGTCGGTATGATGATTACAGTCACACTGAGTACAGAGACTATGAAGAGGGTCGCAGTTTTGCCCATGACCGAAGAAGTGGCCCTCCACACCGAGGTGTACATAAGGTGATTCTTCTTGCATGTTTATGATGTTTATCTTCTCATTAATGCTTGAATACCGAACTGTTAAAGTATTATTTCGAACAGAACTTTGCTGCTACTGCTGTTCTCATAAACTGAAATAGAATGAATAGAAAAAAACCCCTAGGTTTTGATACTTGCTCCTTTTTTTTGTAGTTAGTGTACTTCTAAGCCTCTTGTGATTATACAGGAATACCTGTTTGCTGCTTCTTATAGTTACTAGCTACCCTCTTGACTTAGGAAAGGGCCCTTGTCCAGCTCTGTAGAATGCTCAGAGTCTGAACTGAGAAAACAAAACCAGCCAGAAGGTTTCTGTATGAATAGAGGGATTGCAAAATCTGTTTAACAAGTCATTGCACATGTAACTTGTTGAATGTTGTCTGCCTATCCTTCTAATTCATACAGTTGTTCACTATTTAAATTTTGTCATGATGTTGAATGCATATTTTTTTCCCAGTAGCTACACTTAAGTACAAAATTTATGGTCCTTCTGAAAGGTCTTTACTGCTGCCTCTTCCGACCCAGCTGTTTAAAGTTCTGTAATTTCAAGCTAGTGATGACAATTTGCATTTCAGTGAGAAAAATTTTTGTTAAGTCAGGGCTCATGCATATATTTTTGGAAAATTTTGTAGTTTTTGTATTTTGTACAGCATTTCAAAGTTGCTCTCTTCAGTATTAATAGAAGAAGAAAATAAGAGAAATGGGGTAGAGTGAATAAATTGAGAGAAATTTTGCTGTGAATGATTAGTGCTTTATTTTAGCTTCTTAAATGCTTAGGTTTTGCAGTAAATAAGTACGATTTGGCAACTAACTGCACCTCACATCTGATGTGGGAGATACATGTCACACAGTTGTTTTGCATGTATGTTTTGCAGGATGAATCGGGATACAGATGGCCAAGGGATGATCATTCTATAAGTCGGCAGCCTGAATACAGGTATTTTAGAAGAATTTATAGTAGTGCCATGCATAGGCTGGGACTATTTATGGCATTTTTCTTTGTTATCAAAAAAGTTTATAGAGCAGAACAATGAAATGACAGGGATGTGGGAAAGGACATCTGTTGAAGTAAAAGGCAATAGTGGAAAAGTGGTTTCTAGTTGTATTGTTTGAAATACAAATTAAATAAATAATACAACATGAAAATCTCTATTTTAGTATTTGTTTATCAAGGATAGGAGGCATAATGATAGCAGCTTTAGAGTGTTAGCCTGAGACTGTAAGTAATTTAGTGCATCTCCCTGTTAAGACACACTTCTTACATGATTTAACAGAATTTTTTTGTCTGATATTTGCTTCTGTGACTGCAGTACTTCGGGGCTACAGTGGAAAGATACCTGTGCCATTTTAAAGGCTGCTAGGTTGGATAATGGGATTATGAAGTTCACCATAGCCTTTGTTCTGATCTCCTTGTTTTCTCAGCTGGACTGAGGAGTTGGTATTTCCATCATACACTATATTAATTTCTGTGAGCACTTAGTCTGTACCTCAGGTTCCCATCCATGAAACGTAAGGAAGGGTATTAAACAGCAGGGCTGTAACATACATATGCCTGCAATGATGTTTGATACGGGATTATTTGATATGATAAATAAAGTGCACAGGATAATGTTACACTCAAAATTTATGGACAAGAATGAAACTCACCTTAAATATTCAGACAAGAATTAATAGTTAGTATAACTGAAATACTAACAGTCTAACCTAAAAATGCCATCTCATGGCTGTACTTTTATATGCCACATCCTGTGCTTCTACTTCTCAAGGTGTCTGCTGTCATTCAAGGCCTGTGTTTCTGTATACTGCATCATGGTGTTAGTCATAAATACCTCATTCTGCATAGAGTAACTCCTTGTTACTGCTGTCTATATAGAACTGTGGTTTCACCATACAAAGATCAACAAAAGTAGACAAAAATTAGCTATAGACACCTCTGGTCTGTTAGAAAAATTGTTGTTAATCCTACACCAAGTTAAAATAAAGCTTTCAGGCAGGTCAAGAAGAGCTCAGAGCAAGCCTGACAAGGTCGCTCAAAGCCACAGTCTTGAGGCCTTGCAAACCCAATATAAAGCTGTTAGTAGCCATAGCAATACAGTGCTACAGGGCTACACAGTTGCAGTAGATATCTATGCCTTGAATGTGATGATTTAGACATAGCATAACTAAGTTATTACATAACTTTAACATAAAAATCCTTCATATACCATAAGGATTTGTGTCCACTAGACTTCTCTCAAAATTGCATTCTTGGGGCTAGAAGTGACAGTAAGGGGTTCTGGAAAGTAGTAAGTGTTTTATAGAAACTTGTGTAAAAGTTCTTGCATCTTTTCTTTCAACTCCAAAGGAATAAGAGTTGTTTAAAGCTGAAAAAAGACAGAAGATTTGAGTTAGTGCCAGGTAGTTTATTTTACACAGAACAAGAGTGGCACCCAGTGGTCAAAAAGATTGTCTTCAATGCATCCTGATTTCTTCCATTCAAACTGTGAGGATAAAATGTAAACTTGTTTTGTTGAAGGCTTTAAAAATGTGTGTTGTGTGGTAGGTGATAGTCCCATATGAGTATTATATATTTCAGAATATGTAACTGTTACACAACTGTGGTAACACTAGGGAAGAACTTCATAAAGATATTCAGTTCAGTTGAGGGTGTGGGAATGTATTTGCAATTGAATGAAGCCCTATTGCTTTATTATATAAATATGTGTTAGCATGTCAGAAGTCTGATTATACAGAAGAGCACAGGAATAGTAAATAACCTTGGATATAAAATCCTATGATAAGGGTGCTAAATACTTGTAACATTACATGCTTGGTAATAAACTTAATGATGATTTTTTGCATGTTGCTCACTATTGAGCTATGTGGTGAATCTCAACAGAGGAAATCAAAGTATATAGTATATGTTGTCTCCTGTGGTGAAAACATTAATTACTTTCCATTTCAAAGACATTTGCTCAATAAGACATGAAATGAAAATATTATTATATGCAAAAATGCTTTCTCCTTGGATATGATGAAAATTAATTGGGGTAAGTTCTTCTGGAGCACATATAATTTTTTTTTTCTTTGAGATAGTAGAAGAAGATTGAAGATTGCTTTAACCTTGAAGTACTTTTCAAAAAAATTGCATGAAACATGGCTAGTACAAAGCTAGATGTGTGAAGATAAAGGCACTCAGGAGGCTTGTGAAGTTAGTGGGTTTTTGTAGTCACTGTACTCGGTGACTATACATTCTAAAAAGAAAAGCTCTTTTATTGACATAAATAATCCGTTTTCCTCAGTATTTTTAAAAACTCATTCAGCAGCTAAAAATGTGCTATAAGATGTTGTCAATATTATGTTTATCATTTCCTCTTAAGCATTAATCATTCACATCTTCCTCCTTAAGTTTTTGGCAACTTAACCATTAAAAAGTTGTTTCTGGTCTCTTTCTAATGTTTGTTCCCCCTATCTTTCTTTGGATTGCTGAAAAATGTTACTAGAGGTTCTCCCAAAGTAAAAGCTGCTGTTTATCTGGAATATTAAAAATCATTAAAATGATGCAGAATTTGGGAGGGTGAAAGTTTCCTATGTTGAAGAAACTGTTTGCTAGGTTTTTTTTGAGTTTTTTTTTGTTGTTGTTTCTTTTGTGGATTTTTTATTTTTAAGTTTCTTGCCTTTGCCTTAAAAATAGGAAGTGCATGCTTGCTTAGCACTTGCGTAGCTGTGGCTTGATCTGTGATGTTACACTCGGCTTAGCAAACAAGAAAAAAAGGCAGCTTTCTTCTTATGGAGTTATGCTTCAGTTTCCAAGCAGCTATTATTTGCCAGTAGTCTGCCTTTGAGCAGAGAGAGCATTACTGATCCTTCTGCTCTTTCCTGGACCACTCAGTTACTGAGACTTATTAGCCTTGTTTTAGACTATGCTTAGTGAACAGATCTTATCCTGACCATGACTTCTTTATGGTAATACCATTTTTTATATGTAAAAAATTAAGTAATTCAGAGGATGTACTGGGCATAGATTTCAAAATGAGTTACCAGCCCTTTTTCTCCTGTTCTGACCTAAGGGATTTCAGAACTCCAGGAACTGATGTCAACTGTGTAACCTTGTGGTCATGGCTTGGTCCGAAGTGTCTCTTGGTTCCAGCCTTGGAATGTATAAAGAATCGTACATACATCAAAGCAGAATCTTTTAGTTTTTAGAACAGAGAATTTTTTGCACACATGATGGTAATTTTAATGTCTTGGTCACTGATGCTATGAGAATTGTGAAACTTGGGAACTGAGAAGAGTAGAGATCAAATAACACGACTTCTACATTGTACATTTATCTTTTACTGATGTTTATCACTTCTGGGGCTGTGTTACTACTTGTCTTTAGTGATATATCAAAATCATTTATTCAGAGCACTCATTTTATGCATGTCAGACTTTTTGAGAAATTGCAGAGAGCTATGCTGTTACATGTTGAACTGAAATTTTACATTACTTTTCTGTGGGCCCTCATAGCAATGGATTTTGCATACAAGTTCATTTTTGTAGTCAGATGAACTTTTCAATGTGAAATGCTTTAGCAGATTGTTAGCTGCTGTTCACTTTAGTCATACCAAATTTTAATCCTTTTGAGTGCACAGAGCATTACTTCATTCTTTTTTTTTTTTTTTTTTTCTGGCAAGACTGAGTTCGGAAGATGTGAAATATGCAAAACTTGGCAACTTAAGATGGGTAGGACTCATCTTCAAAGAGAAATTACAAAATGACGCACTTGTAAATCCCAGCTATACATGCATTAAATTTGATCCTTAAAATTATCTGAGGTCCGGATTTTTGTAAAATAAGGATTACCATATTTGTAGATGAAGTACTCTGCATCAATAATAATGTTGGTTCATATAATATAGACTCGTGAGAAGTGGCTCACATAGGACATTTTGAGTATCTTCTCTCAAGCTGTAGATATGAATACATTTTCATTTGTTAATGAAGGAAACTTGCTGCTACTACATGTATTCTTTTGTTTATTGGCTGTGGGGATTTTTTTTCCATGTCCTGTGTGAAATTAGGAAGTAATCTTAGTCTAGTCTTTAATACTAATGCATTTAGTATATAAAACTTATATCTGTTTTTATATTATAGTATAATATAAAATATTAGTATATTGTATTATATCTGCATATATAAAACAGATCTACTTATCTGTGGAGTGCACTGGAAATATTTTGTAGTAAATAAAAATATTAAGAAGGTAATTTTGGTGCTAGAAATGAAATTAAAATGACCAAACATTGAAACTTAATTTTAAACAATTAGCATCTGTGAACAACTAAGTTCTGTATTTTGTTTTGGGAATCTTTTAACTCAATGATACCTTACCTTTCTTCTGAAAATTTTATGTGACTTTCTGAACATTAAACTTAGTTACCTCTTTAGAGTGGTAAAGCATAATATACTCCAATTTTTGTAGATTCATAAACCTTCACGGGGAGATTGTGTTTACTGAAGGTCATGGAGAAAATTGGTAGCAAAGTTGAGGATAAGAGCCCAGCAGTTGTGGCTTTCTGATCTCTGTTCCATTTGGTGATTCACCCCTTGCAGGTGCGGTACCCGAGGACAGGATGTTCTAGAGGAATGGTCTGAAGATTGTACATTAAGAAGAAAATAATTATTTGGCAAGAATGGTTATTTTAAACTGAAACCATTGATGAGAGAGTGTCCAGATAGAAGTTAAGGGTCACTGACTCTTCTCTCAATAAAGCAGTATTTAATATTGAGAGTTCAGATGTGTCATAGGCCAAGGCAAGTTATCTTTACATTATCAGTGTTCAATCACCTTTAAATTACAGGGGGTGGCTTGTTTCTCCCCTCCCCCATATGTAAGCTTTAATGAATGAAACAGTGAACCTATTTAAATATTTTATACTCATTTAAAACAGTGTATTATATTGTGGGAGGTCT